CTTATACCTCCCTTAAAAAGGAACGAGCTAGGGATTTAGCAGCACCCGGGTGTCCTTCGGCTCCGTACGCACGGCCACCCGCTCAACTATAGGCAAACGCGCTGCTTGTCTGCACCCTCTCACTTCCTGTTGTTCTATACCTCTGGCGTGTTCGCTGCAGGATTTTGGGATCGACGCAAGTGTTGCACCTTGAGGATAGCTAGGGCAGAGTTGGGAGACGGCACCCGGATAATACCCGGATACCCAGGCTTCTTCGTTCAGGATGTCCGTCTCGACTTGGATTTTCTCGGCGACATTAGGGTTCGAAGCTCAATGCTGAGTGATGGTCTGATTTCCCGCAATGGAAACAACGGTTGTGAAACTTTGGACAGCGTGCTCTTCTAGTAGACAACCACCAAAGACAACGATAGCATCGATTGCTCTCTTCTGCTACAGCTCGACCACTTTCTCCATCGCATACAGACACACATGAATCGCTGTAGTGCTCTCTTGGAGCGTTTCAGGAAGCGTATCGCATATATCTTCATCAGAACGGGAGATCGAGCCTTTGAAGGATTGAGGCTAGCACGGGTTTTCTCGCTCCATCAACTGAATACGGTTCTCTAGATGGAACACCTTCATTTCTAACTCCGATCGCATTTGTTGAAGTTTTCCAAAGCTCTCGCCATCTTCCATTTTGAATTCTTGAAGTTTTAGGGCTCTCGACATAGTCGACTTCGATTTCTTCCATGTATTCTGCGTTATCCTCAATATTCTGGAGTTCCTGCCTGTCTGCATCAGCCTACCCCGTCGCATGAGGATGGCGATCGACAGTGCGTTCCGGTTCCTGGTTGGTTTCGCGCATCTGCTGGGTTCAGGCTTGTCTCTTTCAGGTTCCTCTCTTGTGAACGCTCCTAAGTAGAAATATGTGAGCGTGGTTTACAAAGGAGCGTAGTAGATCTCTCGAGGTATTCAGCTGGTCACCAATGATGGTATCAACTACGTCGAGGTAGAGGTGTACTGGAAGCGTATATTGTTTGCCGCCATGATAATAATGTTGCGGCTGGGTCGTCATGGCATCCCACGCTTCTTCCGAGGTTCTGTTTGTCGCAGTTGGTAGTGGTGGTATCGCATGAATCGTTCGTAGTATGAGACGCAGTAGGAAGAGTTGCATCTCGCAATTTTCTGTTTTCGTTTCTAACAACTGCGCTTTTCGCGCTCAATCCAGTCATCGTGGGTTCACCAAGAGGAGAGACATCTCTATGAAGACCATCCAATAAATGAGTACAACACCCTACATCACCAGCGATTCCTACGTTCTCATCATAGAGTTTTTTTGGAATAAGAAAGAATGGGTAATGAACAATCTTTTCAACTCTCTCCTCGCAGCTTGCAACTCACCAGGAGTTAATCAAGTTCATTGAGGAGATTTTTAATTTTTGCGTCCATATCGTCGCACTATTATGTTGGCATTGCTTCCTTGGGCGCAGCTTATGCGAAAATTGTCCTCTAGCGCGTTCTGTTGGACTTGATCTGGAAGTCTTTGCTGCTCCGCTAAGTCTGTTTCGTGCTCCAACTTTGCGGTTTGAAGTCGTCCCAAGTGCACAAAAATACTCTCCCAGCACGTGTTGTATTTTTACCTTGTGTTCTTCCCACCACGCCTTTTTATTGGATTCTTCAAACCTGGGTAATTAAACAATAACTACCGACTACGACCAAAAAATCGAACCCAACAGTCAACTGTGCTCCCGTTGATCATCGAGTTCCTCGAGCGGGCGCCAGTAACGTCTCCATTCGTCCCTGCAACGTGCAAGAGTTGCCCAATGGACTCGGGACACGATGAACTTCATACCATTCGTTCAGAGCTTTCACGAAGAAGTCTGACCATCGCGTAGGCGGTCGTCCAGGCGTTCGCTTGACATCCCGTGGAATCCAGTCGGTGATCGCTCTGGTCCAGCGGTCGTCCTCGAAACGCATGACGTGCCCGGCCCGGCCTCACCTAATCTTCAAAACCTCTTTAAATGCTGGCTGCGTCTTTGATTCTTCCTCGATCGTCGGCGGAGTGCGGAGTTCCGGATTCCCTCTCTCACTTGCGTGTAGCGGGAGACCCCAGCATCGCCTTTTCGATGGCGCGTTGAATAACGTCAACCGCATGCTCGTCCTGCTTTCGTGGAGTCCAAGTCTCTGAGGCGTAAGTTGAAGCAGGAAGGACCGCGGAATCGAAGAGGTGGGCGCGGAGTCTGGAGTTCTTCGTCTTCTCTGCTATCGTTCCTCGAGTCTTGAAAGCTCCTCAAGGCCGCTCGGCTCCTTCCTGCTCAAGCTGCGCTAAGTCGTCATCGTATTCATTGCGCCGCCGGTCAGCTTACACATAGCTTCAGAGATGTTCGTTCCGTTTAAGCGTGAATGAGGCATCAGAAACCAATCCGTTTCTCATGAACATCGTCTTCGTTAGATTCAGCCGTAGACCGATTTTCACACGCTCAGTCGAAATCGGCCAGCTTGCTCGATGTTTGGTGTTATCAAAACGATGTCGTCAGCAAAGCGGAGATGGTGTAGTTGCCGACCGTCGATCTTCACTCCCATGTCTTCCCATTCCAGTTGACGCATGACGTTCTCGAGAGAGGCGCTGAAGGACTTGGGCGAGATGGTGTCGCCCGTCGACCCCTTCTTTCACGTCGATGATGATCTCCTTGTAGAATGGTGAGATCTTGATCGTGAAGAAGGATGACGATGGAGAAGGGGGATGACGAAGCTTTTCTTTAAGTCAATGAACGTGAGACATAACGGCATCTTGTACTCCGATGAGCTTTACCGTGTGGATGTGATCGATGGTGCTGAATCCTCTTCGAAACCCTGCTTGTTCGCATGGCTGTCCTCCGAATAGTGTTTTGCCAATCAGGTTTTGCAGACTGCAGATAGCAGGCAGATTTGGGCGATAATTGCCAATGTCGTACAGGTCTCCCTTCTTGTACAGCAACACAGTCTTGCTGGTTTTCCACGAGGGTACCTTGCATTCCGACAGGTAGCGCGTGAAGAGTCGAGCCAGAGTTTTGACGAGAACTGGCGGAAGATTCTTCAGATGTTCGGGTCTGATCCTGTCGGGACCGGGTGCCGTACGACTCTTCACCGACGAGATGGCGTGTTCGGGCCACGGAAGGGAGAACTCCGTGTCCATCCTGCAACTGCAGAAGCGCCGTGTCCATCCTGCTCCAAGCGGTATGGTGGCAGGTGGACGTGGCTGCGAAAGAGAACAAAGTAGAAGTCGTGAATGACCTTCTATACTGCCCTTCTGGATGCGGTGATTTTTCCGTCCGGACGTCGGAGGCCGGTCATCGTGGTCTTATTGGCGAAGTCGCAGCAGGCGTTACGAACGTTCGTCCCAGCCTCTGCTGCCTACACCAGCATTGCTGCTCTTCTCTCCTTGGGGTCTTCCTCCGCCGCTTCTCTGCATAGCTTTGCAAGCTCAGATGTCAGCTGGTAGCTGCCTGCAGCCTCACGCGGCTCCTTGTTGGCGAATCGAGAGTTTCCAGAAATGGACGCTTCTTGGTAATCTTGAAACTCTGACTTCTTGGCGCAGTCGTGAAGATGTGCAACAAGCCGTTCGTATTCCTGTCGTTGCCGGAATCCTCCTAGAGCGTAGCGAGAGGAATAACTGATCCCAATTGATGATGGTTTTGGGACTTCGCTTCTTGAACTTGGCAGCTTCTGCTCCCTCCCACCGAAAACGGGAATCCATGCGCGAAAGACGACGTGATCCCGTGTAGAATTTAGGAACAACAGCGACGTCGTCGAGGCGAAACCTTTGATTGAATATGATAGAGTCGATTTCATTATGGAATTGTCCATCAGGAAACCCCATGCTCAGCGTAGCGAGTAGGGCTTCTGAGACTTGCCCCGGAGTTTTTTTACCACGAACGTATGGGTCGACGTGATACTCACAACTCAGACAGCCTTCCACCCTGCTCATTCCACTCTATTCCGTGTTCCGTGAGTTCCGATGTGATGTTCTTCAGCCGTTCTTCTTGGTCCGATCTTATAATTGAAATCGTTAGCGTGGAAATCATCGACGATGACTCGACAGAAGGTAGGATCCTTGTAGAACTTCTCACTTCTCCGATTCCATA